GGGAACATTCATCCTGATTGACAATCTGAAGACTAGCTGAAGAGACTTTTAAACAAGGAAGGGCAGAAACCACTTTGAGACTTGTAGAAAGGATGGGGTCATGAGAGAGAATGGCCCTGTCTTCAGAGGCAGCAGGTGGAGGTTAAGAAGGGATATCTTAGTTACAGGGGGGAGGAGATCCTTTTGACTCAGCGATCCCACTTCTGGGTATATATTTTAAGAATTCTAAAACAGCAATCAGAAAGAATATATGTACCCCTTTGTTCATTAACTGTTATTTAAAATAGCTAAGATCTGGATATAGTCCAAGTGCCCAACAGTTTATGAGTAGATAAAAAGCTGTGGTACATTTGCATAATGGAATACTGTGAGGCTGTAAAAACAAAAAGAGGGTACTCTTAATCTTTGCTACAGCATGGATGGACCTAGATATTATTATGCTAGGTAAAATAAGCAAGTGAGAGAGAGAAAAATACCATACAATTTTACTAATATGTAAAATCTAACAAAACAAACAGATAAATAAAATAGAACCAGAGGCATGGATACGTGGAACAGACTGACAAATGTCAGCAGTGAAGGGTGTGAAGATATTAGCTAAAGTACATGTATGCATAAACCATGGACACAAACAATATTGTGATGAGGGGCAAGGGAGGCGGGCATCTCAGGATTGGGTTGGGGGTGTGTAAAGGGAGGGAACATCTGCAGTAGTGTCAACAATGAAGAATTTAAATAAACAGAAAGGATGGACCTTCTTGTGGGTGGTCCTCCCTGTGTCTGCCAGGCAAAGCTTGATTTCTTCTATCCTCCTCCTTCTCCACTCTCATGGATCAGAACCCTATTCTAGCTCCCTCCAGAGGGGGAAAAAAATGATAGAAATGAGTGATAACCTTGACCAAAGAAAAGAGGTGGGTGACAGGGAACAAATATCAGCGGTGGTGGTGGTGGGAGGCGGGAGTTCCTTGGTGATAGGATAGGACTGGAGAAGGCCGACCATGTAGGAGTTCTGAGTGTGAATGAAGCAGGTGAAATAAGCTGCATAGGATAGAAAGCCATCCATGAAAACCAACTTAAGGATTCTCAACCTCTGCATGATTGACACTTAGGGTGGAGAACTTCTTTGTGTGGCTGTCTGTGCTCACAGGATGTTTAGCAGCACCCCTGGCCTCTACCAACTAGATGCCAAGAGCATCCCCCAGTCATGACAATGTCTCTAGACATTGCCATACATTCCTTTGGGGACAAAATCACTCCAAGCTGACAAATACTTCTGTAAAGACTTTGAAAGGCAGCTTAGTCCTTAAGCAAGAAATGATTTACACAGCAATAAGGAGCTATACATTTTTCCCCCCAGAACCATGCAGTCAACCAGCAGGAAGACTTGATTTTGGTAAATAGATTGCTGGTTTACCTTCCAATGTTAAATGTACATCAGGATAGTAACATGATGTATTAACCATGGCTCACTTTAATCAATAGACTATCAGAAATAATAAGGTCTCTTTGTCTTCCAAGGTCTTTTCTGTCAATCAAAAATTATTAGTAGACAATAAACCTGCCCTCAGGAAAGGGGATGAAGCAATGCAGGCCACAGGTTAAGACTCCAAAAGACCCCTTAAAATTGTGTGAGAGTTGGATGTCAGCTAATACCTATTTCTAAATTAGTCTAACTGTTGGATAAAACTAGCCTGTATTTGAGGTGTATTTGAGCCAGCACCACTTGCCTCTGGCAGGATCCTCAAATTCATTCATGTCAGCTTTGTAGCTCTGTACAGCCACCCCTGGGAGTCTCCTTCCAAATGATCACACTGCAGGAAAAGAGAGGGAAAGGAGGTGTGAAGTGTGGAGAATTTTTCTTGCTCCACTGAGCCCAGTCAGGGACCCAGTGGTGCTGTGTATCTCCCTGGGGAAGCCTTCACCCCAGATTAAGGGAAGTGATATAGTGCTTCGTTGCCCTTATTCCTTTCAGACTGTTCCACAATGGAGTCATCAAGGGGTGAGGTGCCTAAGGCCCTCTCACAACCAGCAACAGTGCAGGATAGGCTCTCTGCCTTCCCCCACCCTTGCCCCGTGAACCTTCATTCTGGCCCTAAAATCTCTGTTCCAAGGATGTTAGGTTTCACAAAAGATGAAAAAAATGAGCCCTAAGTGGTGGTTCTTCCCAGTATAAGTTAGGAAAAAACATTAAAGTTTTGGTGAGTTAAGTACTTTATTCAGTATGTCCTCATAGTTTTTTCATTCTTTTCCCCCTTATTATCCATTCTGTCTCAGGGCTATTGCTATTACTTGTGACTTGAAAGAGTAAAGGTATGACCTGTGTGGTTTACACATGTCAAAGTTTAGGGCTTTATTGGTGGTGGTATTGGGGCAATTAATAAATCTCCATCTGGGTGATTCTATGAGATCAAAGTTTGGTCCTGGAGTCACTGAAGGTTTGCATCTCAGCTTCACTTATGAGCAGTGGGACCTTAAGTGAGGACTTCTGTCATGTCTCATCTGTGTAATGGGGATAATAATACCCACTTCTTGGAGGATTAAGTGTGATAGCATCTTAAAAGCATTTGGCATGGTGTTTGGCACGATTATAAATAAACTAGAAGCCCAGTGCACAAAATTCATGCACAGATATGGTCCCTAGGCCTGGCCTGTGATCAGGGCCATTTTCCCCATCTGCCAACAGCTGGCCCATCCCGCCGCCGCCACCCACCCTGTTTTCCATTTGCTATCGGTGATTGGAGCCTGGTGGCCAGGAAAAGGACTGAGAGGTTGGCTGTTCCCGCTTGCTTGTCAGCACCCCCTTTCCCCACCCCACTTCCCAGCTTGCCATCGGGCAATCTGAGCCTGACTGAGAGGTGATCAGTGCGCCTCATAGTAACTGGTCGAGCGGTCATTCTGCCATTAGGGTCAATTTGCATATTACCCTTTTGCAATATAGGATAGAGACCTGTGCATGGATGGGGGTCCTCACTGGTGTGTGGGGCCAGCCGGGGTGAGGGGCCATGGTCTTTCTGGTCTTGGGTCATTTTGCCATTTCAGTCACTAGGCTTTTATTATATAGGATATACAAAGCAGAAGTGTCACAGGAACACAGTAACATATCATTTGAAGGGTTGGTATACTTTTCAGCCCCAAGTGTTGCCAGTAGGATTTCATGAGTCACTGGAGATCACTGGCAAACCTAAGGAGAATGATTAAGTGGGCAGAGACTGAAATTTTGTCTGGCTGAAGTTGGACTGTGAGGTTGAGGCACCAAATCTGTTATCCAATCCTGCTCTAGGTGTTTGTTGTGGACCATCTATATGATAGACACATGGAGGTTGCTGTAGGGGTAAAGTCCCTCTTCTCAGAAATATTATTTTCTAGAGAAGATAGATGAAAAACAAGTGAAAGGGTAAGTAAATAAATACTTGAGAGGTCTATGATGAAAATGAACAATAGATAAAGTGGTAGAGGATGAGTGGATGGGAACCTAGTTTAGACTAGGTGATCAGGAAGACTGAGGAGGTGGCATTTCAGCTGGATAAAGCTGGCAGTGCAGATGGGCAGAGCATTTAATGTGGCGAGAAACCCCAGTGAAAATGCTCTGAGGCTAGAGGAGAAAGTAGATATTGGCTACTAAGAGTTGCTTCAACCTGCGTGTAGTGAGTACTGAGGAGCCAGAATGGGAGAAAAGACTGCCCCCCCCCCCCCCAAGGGATGCAGAAATGTCATAAATTTGACTCAAGTAGCTGAAACCGGTTTGGCTCAGTGGATAGAGAGTCAGTCTGCTGAAAGGTCCCGGGTTCGATTCCGGTTAAGGGCATGTACCTTGGTTGTGGGCACATCTCCAATAGGGGGTGTGCAATAGGCAGCTGATCGATGATTCTCTCTCAACGATGTTTCTAACTCTCTATTCCTCTCTGTAAAAAAATCAATAAAATATATTAAATAAATAAATAAAAATTAAAAAAAAATTGACTCAGGTAGTCTTCAAAGGTGCAGAGACCAAGAATAGTGGGAGTCTCAAATATTTTGTTTTGCATCTTAACCAGAACTTGTTGCTAATTTCCAAATTCTGTCTAAAACCGAGGATCCAAATATCACCTCAAATAACTTTTCCTTCTCAAACTAAATGGAGAGGTCAAGGGACTGACAACCTCAGTGGACACAGCAAAGAGAATCTGTGATGAGGGTGATTTCATCGGCCCATACTGGAGCTTTGCACACAGAAGAGGGAGAAGGCCCAGAGAGTTTCAAGATGACTTAGTGGGCAGACAGGGAATTCCACCAACATGGGTGAGAAGCACACAGGCAGTGAGCTTTGTAAGGACCTCCCAAGTAGTAGGTGTGGCTGGGATTATTAGCATTAACTTCCTTGCCTGTAAAACAGGGACAATAAAAATTTCCCGTCCTTACTATTCCTTTCAGGAGGACACCTTACAGAGAGAAGAGAAAGCTTTTATGTTCAGTGAAAGTCCTTGTATTTAAGAACTGCAGGGTCTCTGCAGGGTACACTCGGTGCAGGACAAGGCTCCATCCGGAGGAAGCAGGCCATCCAGCACCGCAGAGTGCAGGACAATGTTTAGGGCAAGGAGACCTTAACTTATTTTTGGGCCTCCGCAGGTCTAGGGAGATTCAAAGGGCGCGGGGGGTCCCGTGCGCGTTTCTCTTGGGACTGAGGCTAGAGAAGTCACTTCCAAGCGGACGTCTCCATAAGAGCGACTCCCTGCCCTAAGGTCTCGTCCACAGCCACACTGTCACTGCTGGGAAAAACAACAGGTCAGTTGGAACACCCCCTCCTCAGAAACACAAGAGGACAGAAAAACCCCTAAGACTCGCGTAACCGCGGTTATTCCCGCCACACTGGCCAAACTGGTAGCCGGGATTTGCGTGCCCTTGGAGGAGCATTGTGGGACTGGTAGTCCAGGCTGAGGCGCGGCTCAGGACTTCGAAAGCCACAGAACTACATTTCCCAGGAAGCTCCGCGCGGGCCCGTACGTGCGCGTGACGACTAGATTTCCGGAAGAACCTGGGGCGGGACCGTGGCTGTGGCTGGAGCTAGGCTTCGGGATGCAGCGTCCTGGGCCCTTCAGCACCCTCTACGGGCGGGTCCTGGCCCCGCTGCCCGGACGGGCCGGGGGCGCGGCCTCTGGAGGAGGCGGGAACAGGTGGGGTGCCCCAGGCTCCCTTGTGCAGCCGCCGGTGTGCGCTCATTCCGGTACCGGCGGCGCGGGCCAGACAAGCCCCAACGTCAAGGAAGCCAGCAGTGCCTTCCCAGCCCCCTCCACGATGTCCAAGGCCGAGGAGGCCAAGAAGCTTGCGGGCCACGCGGCAGTGGAGAATCACGTGAGGGTGAGCAGCCCCGGCTGCGGGCTGGGCTCCTGGTGGGCTCCGCTGGGACGCCCTTGTTCCTGGAAGGGCGTGGGCTGCCTGAGCAGGGAGAGGGCGCGCTTTGCCCGGGTTACTAACCTGCTCCTTAACGGCCGTTTTGATGTGGGGTCTGCGGGGGACGAGCTTCCCAAAGACCCTTTGTGTGGCCCGACAACAGGTTTGCAAAGCGGAGCCCGGGTGGTGTCATGTTGAGTGGGGCTGGAAGAGACTTGCCCTCTGATTTCCTTACCAACAAAGGGAAACTGATGAGTTCCGGGCTGCGGACAGGTCTTTTCACATTCCTGGAAAGCCGGTGGAGAACTGGCTTGAAAATTGCCTTGGCACTTGACTCCAAGTAGGCTTTAGCTTGGCGCGTCCGCTCCCGAGAGTACTCGCCAGGGGGTTGGAGGGACAGAGTGTGAGGGGAAGACCTGGGCGCTGAACGCCCCTTCGACGGGGCGGGGTGGACACTGCAAGCCTGGAGGATGCTGTTCCGAGATGTTAAACTGTTAGTGGTGAGGTCCTGGCCCCACTTGTTTGTTAAGTGGGTGTGATTCTTGCTGTTAGTGGAGTCTTTTAACCCGAGTGAATTTGTTGTTGCTTACCAAGTTAATTATCTTAATTAAAATATTTGGGTAGCCAGGTGGAGTATCTTTTTCCTTAGGTGGAGTTTCTTAGACTTTATTGGCTTTTTGTCTTTTCTACTTAAAAAATGTATTATCTTCTAATACTAGTGCTTGAGAATACATTAACTTACAAAGTTATTTTACACATAGTTGATGTTTGATCCCCACACAGCCTGTCTAAGTGCAGTAAGCTGGCTCAGCATGTTCTGTAGAAGGAATGGCCAAGGATCATCCCAAACCTAGTGAGTCCTGTGAGGTAGTACCCTTCCACCAGGTCCTCGCTGCCCTGCCCTGGAGTCACTTGTTACAAGTCTGGTTAGCAATAGGGTTTTTTCTATGGTAATTCACAGAGTTAATGTAAAATGTGTATTTTGGCTCTACTTTTGGGATTCAGTGCCTCAGCTGCAAAATTGGGACAATAAGCTGAGATTTGAAAATGCCTGGATAAAGTGAATAGCTAATGGACAGGTAAATATTGTAAAAAGAAATCAATACACTTAGAAAAGCACCGTACCTTAATTTTCCTGTTAACCTGTTTGCATTAATATTTGGTGGTGCATGTCTTCCTGACCTTTGTTTTATAATTATGTATTTGCTTAAATAAAATTTGTAAGCCCTCACCTCAGGCTAAAGCCCCCAAACACTGGATTCCAGCTGTATTATTCCAAAAGTTGCCAGGTAATTCTGTGGAGATCTCCACTGCCTTTGGGGGGCACCTCACCCAATGCCAGTGGCACCCACTTTCCTACCAGCATTCTTTCCTGAGATTCCAACACTACTTGAATTCTGTATTTTCTGCTGTTTAATGGTGATTTATTCTTTCCTTTGTTTACCAGGTATTTATTGAGTGTCCAGCAGTGTCAGTTGGTATGGTTATCAGAAGTGGGTTAGAGCGGGAAGGAGAAGAGTCTGGTCTTGGGTCCCTTGCAAGTGGGATAACTAATTCAAATAACATTTACTGAGCATATCCATGTACTTAATTGTCATGTACTTGATTGCTCTCTCCAGTGGGTATCTTTTACTCCATCTAAGGCCATCTTGTCCTCTATTTTGTGACTTGGATTCCTTTATTCACTGTGTAAGATTATCAGGGTAGATTATATACTAAGTCCTATTGGTTCCACTTTTGGGTTGTTCTTAGAGTTGACCTTTTCCCTTGATCTACCAGCCCCATTTAAACTTTCCCCAGAGCCAGATGATAGTGGTTGCCTTTATCTTCTCCCCTCTATCAGCTTCCCAGCATTATCCTCTGAAGCTCTCTTCTGCTCTTATCAGAGTGGTCCTTGCGGGGCTTCTTCCTGACCTGTAACACACTGGAGAATCTATTGTAAGCTTCAGTACTCAGCATGGTGGGAAGGATCCATAGACAAAAGGATTATCAGGTTAGGGAATTGCCTTGAGCTACCACTTTCTCAACATTCTCCATGCTTAGGGAACAAGGTGCTTAGAATCTGCCCAAGGTCTTTCTGCCTTCCGTGTTCCTTGGTGTATTCTCATGACAGTATAGGCAAGGGATGGCTTCCAGCACTCTGCCTTTATGTTAAAATTATGTAAGTCCTTCAGGATTTGCTGCAAATGCCATTTCTTCCTTTCAGTTTTTCCTTCGCCTCATAAGGGGGGAGTGCATATTGTCTTTGATTTTGTAGCACTTTATATCTCTTAGGTGTCTTATGTTCTGGTCATCTCTGTGTTTGTGTCTCCCAGTCCCAAAAAAGTTACATTTTTTATCTTCATGCAGTGTTGGTATAGTGGGACCTTCCTAGTTAATGTTCAGTGAATCTTGTGAAGTGTGGACATAAATATGGAGGTTGTGGAATTGTTGGTGGGTTGAATCTGGGAGTGTAGATCCAATTCATAGTCCACTGGTGTTCTATTGGTGTTCCATGTGGTAACCATCTCCACATCTGGATGGATGGAGAACTTGGAGATAGCCACCCTGAGCTCAGATCTGCCAGTTTATGGGATTATAGCTACCCTTGTTGGGACGTCACCCAAGCTTGGAATGGAAAATTCTGCAAGCTGGCCTTTTTCAAAAAGATCCCCAGTTTGTCCCCAGCTTATAAAAATAACCAAGCAAAGCCAGCCCCTGAGCCTGTTCAGAGGACCTTCCTTTCCTCTGTGCTGCCTCCTTTGAGCTCCAGCATAAGCTTGATAAAATCTGTCTGGATATGTCTGTGGGGTATTCTCTCCATTTCTTGTGGAGAAACCAAGAACCACAAGGAGGGGTCTCCACTGATTGATTGGTTGGTGCCAGGGTAGGGGGTCATCATTCAATGCTGCTGATCCCAAAGTCAGCTGTAGCGTCTCTTGTTTGGTTTTGCTGCTTTTCTGGGTGTGGACCTGAAATACAATTGAGCCATTTTGCCTTAGACTGGCAGATTGCTCCCAGAAAATTGCTGAGGAATTGAGTACCATATTAGTTCCTGAGTGTTTGTGCCCTGACCTAGTGCTGTTTGTGGTTTAACTGTCCTCTGCTGGGCCCCAGCTCTGCCCCTGCTCCTAGGCACCTTCCCCTTTGTTAAGGAGGAAGGCTCAGAAGTGTGATGGCTGTTTTTTGTCCTTTGCACTCAGGAAGTATTCTATATCTTTACAAGACCTTCCTATTGCAGATGAAGACTTTTTCTCATGTTCCTAATTAAGCCTGCCATCTTTGCAGATTCTCTGAGGCAGGCTTGCATCACCTGGACAGAAACTGATACAATTTGCTGTTTTGAGGTTACTTCAGACTCTTTCCTCTTCTGCCAACTCTGGGGGATCTCTAGATTGTGGGCTGGATATGCCCCTTTGGTTCCCTGTGATGCTACCAAAGTGAGGTATCTGTGGTCAATCCCCTGCCTTCTAGATCTTAAGCTCATCTGAAAAGGCACTGAAGCCAGAAACCTTGACTTATTAATGCCCAGAGCTTTTCCTTTCTGATCACTTGGCCCAGGGGTTGGTCAGGGTTATTTCAGTGCTCATCTGCTGGCCACTATTAGGACAACTTCAGTTATTATTATATATGTGGAAAGTGAGCCAAGCCTTTTGTCTGACCGGATATAGGGAAGGTTAACAGGCCCAAAATGGAGTCACATATGCTAAGCCCCACGTCACCAAACTAAGACTTAATGACAGTTTTGGCTCTCCCAGAAATGGAATCGTAATCCAGTCAGACAGCCGACAGACACTACCATCCCTTAGAGGGAAGTCTGTGAAAGTCTTTTTAGAGGGAAGTGTGTGAAAGTCTTTCATTTTGGACAGTCCTGGAGCCTCCTCTCTGTCTGCTAGATTGGATGCTGCCCAATTTGAACCAGATTTTGCTCAAATCAACTCTTGACATTTGTAAACTTGCCCAGCGTGTCTTTCATCAGTAGGAGATGGTGATGTCAGTGTCAGATGAAAGGAGAAGGGCTTGGATGATGAACTGCCCCCGGGCACTGTAATAAAGACCGGGTTGATGTTCCTGTAAAATGAGCACAGTGCTTGCCTGTAATCTCGTTGGTGAATTACTGTTCATAATTTATTGTTCTAGGAAGCAAGCAGGCTGGAGAGGGAATAAAAGATGGTATTAATAAGTTTTGTTTTTTCCCTCCTTTTTTTTTGTCAGAATAACCAAGTGCTGGGAATTGGAAGTGGTTCTACAATTGTCCATGCTGTGCAGCGAATAGGTATGTCCTTGGGCTGTTTCCTGTATGTTTTGTCAGTAATGGACCCTATGGCTGGTAGAAGCAGGGAGCAGGATTGGGGCATAGAAAACACTTGCTGGGTATGGCTCCAGCATTGGAGCTGCTTGTCTGTCAGCTTATGTGTTCCTGCTTTTCCCTGAGAGAGATTCTTGGGTCTCTTCAGCCATCTCTGGGGGTTGCCCCAGCTTACCCAGCTGGAGGGGAGGAACACACTTAGAGTGAGATCTCAAAAGAATTTTATCCTTATTAACGTGTGTGTGTGTGTGTGTGTGTGTGTGTGTGTGTGCGCGCGCATGTGTGCGTGCGTGTGTGCTTGGTTTCAGGGACCCTGAGCTGAGGCAAGCTTTCTGACCCTCAGACAATCTCAGGCAAACAAATCAAGGTCAGTGCAGGCTTGACCTGAAGTGAATTTGAGGTCCCTGCAGTTGCTGCCTGGTTCCCGCAGGAGCTGGCTTTTCTGATTAGGGTGTCTCTGTGCTTAGGAAGGCGCAGGAATTCCCAGCCCCTGTGGCTGCTCCACAGGCTTTACTGCCTGCTTTTGTTTGTAAGAACAAAGCCCAGAGGAGAGGTTTGCTAGAGTGCTGGCCTCTTCTACAATAGTTCCAGGGCAAAGTGCTCAGGAGACAAAGTCCAGCACCACCCAGTCTTTAAGGAGTGGCCGTGGTGCTGGTGTGTTGGCTTCTGGAAGCGCCTCATGGGCCGAACAGGGGCCTTAACACTGAGTGAGTGGAGGATTTTAAGTTCAAGAATTAGCTGTGGGTTTTGTAATAGTGACATCTCAACCTCACAAGATGCAACCCAGTGATGAAAAAAAGTAAGCTTTAACAAGGCAGTGTTTTTTTTAAGACCTTTTTTAAAAAATCAAGTTTTTCTGAAAGGTAGAAACCCCAAATGCATGAATAAACCCACTCTAACAACCCTCTGGGGCAACAAATGATTATATATTTTTGTATTAAATGTAAAAGGCAGTATAGGGAAGATTTTAACTGAAGCTAGACTGCCAGGGGTCATATTCCAGTTCTGCCCCTTGTTAGCTGTGTAACTACCCAGATATTCTACCTCTCTGCCTCAGTTTCCTCTTCTGTAAAATGGAGGTAATAATTGTACCTTTTCCTTTGGGTTATAACTGACCTTCAGGATTAAAAGAGTTCACAGGCACACACAGTTCCTTGACTATTGCCAAGCACATAATAGTAGACACTGGCGTTGCTCTTCCATAGTTAGTACTTACTACTGCCTTAGGCTTTCTACTGTCCTGTCTTGTGATATGTGAGGTATGTTCACCAACTTTGTCAGAAAGGGGGGCATGGTATGAAAGGCAGACTTTACTTTTCTGTTGGATTTGAGCAAACGTGTCCAAGACAAGTAATAGTGAAGTGAGAGAGTGAAGACCCACCGCATGGTTTCTCTCTCCACAGCTGAACGAGTGAAGCAGGAGAACCTGAACCTCGTCTGTGTTCCCACGTCCTTCCAGGTGGGCCTGCTTTCCATTCTGCTGGACCTTCTGGCTCCCTGAGCACAGGGCGGTGTGGCTGTGGGGTGTGCACCAGGCTGTTCCCTGTGAGAGGGCCGGGAGCAGGAGAGTGTATTTACTGAAATCATGTGTCTTATGTAGCTTGCTCTCTACCAAGCCATGCCAACCCTTGTGGAGGTGCTGACCAAAGAGCACAGAATACAACATGACACAAAAGGAACCACATGAATATACATAAGACAGCGTTCTCCAGGCGACCTTTCCTTGTTGATAATTGTCTCCTCAGCTGTGTCTAATTTGTTAATTCCTGTGCCCCATCTTTAAACAAAGTAAACCAGACACAAAGAGACACAAAACAACAATCAACAGAGATACTCTATGTACAATATTTATAGGTGTGCACAGACAAGAACTTCACAGCATGCTCCTTGTCTGTCCAGCCGCAGAAACCTCTCCTTGGTTAGTACTTACTGCCATGGACTTTCTACTGTCCCCGTCTTGTGATGTGTGAGGAATGTTCATTAACTTTGTCAAAAACGTGGGGAAAGGCAGACAAATACCTGCATTTAAAACTGACCGAAGCAGAGCATTGTCTCTTGTCCCAGAGTGGATCAGACTAAGGGCTTGGAGACCACGCTGGAGGTCCCTTGCCACCTGAGCTGATCAGGCTCTCCCAGACAAGAGGTAGTGAAATGTCTCCCATGCAGTACACAATACTGCAATACACAGTGCATGCTCCTTACAAGGAAGCCCAGATGAGAGGCAGCAAGTGCTTCACATGCCATATGAAATGCTTGATTCCTTCTACAAAAACCCTTGATTCAACTTAAGTCTCAGAAGAGATGGGGATTGCTGAGTCTGTGGCTGGGACTCTGAACAGGAAAATTCCTGGTAGCGCTGCAAATAAGAGTCCAGGCCTCAGCCCCAGGAACTCCCAGACCAGGCAGCAAGTGAGGTCCCCGGTACTCACCCTAGAGGAATCTCGAATAGGTTCCTTCGTGGTTGCCAGATTATATAACCAGACAATGAATGGGTCCATGCTTCCTGTCACTACTGAGCCATTTAAGCAGAGACAGGGTTGAATCATATATGAGTGTTTATTCCAGTACTGGTGGCAATAAGGGAGAGCAGCAGGTCATCCACAAAACTCTGCCCTCTAACACCTCCCCCCCCCCCCCCCCCATAAGCCAGCTGCTTATATAGGAGAGGACAAAGATCACGTGGAGAAGTAGGGATTACTTCTCCACGTGATCTTTGGGGAAGTTTGGATTGGCGGGGGGGCCGTGGGGAAGTAGGCTGTGCAGGCTGGGATGGGACTCTATTGTTTGGGCAACAAGGTTGTCAATCTTTCCATGATATTAGGCAGTTCTTGAATGAGAATGGACTCCATTCCAAGGTTGACTCCCAAGGTCCTGGAGGCATACAACTTCCATAGCCATAGCCTTGTTAAAATATCCTTTCTTTAACCAGATATAGGCAGTCATGGTTAACAGTATGATTAGTATTTCCCATAACCATAACCAGTCCCCAATATTCTATTTTTGCCCCTAATATAAGAACCCTCTCTCCAAATAAGTTACACTGAGGTATGGGTGGCTAGAATGACAACGTATCTTTCTTGGGGAAGCATAGTTCCATTCCTAACACTCAGATCATTTGTGAGCATGACTTCTCTGTGTGTGTAGGGTACTTACATGGGCCTCTAGCAGAGATGGGAGAAGGGAGGGTTGGAGGATTTGCTGATGGGAGCAAGCTCAGAGGCTTCCAGCCCAGGGAATCTGAGGTCCTAGTAAGGGTCTTCCATATGTGAATGGGGTGCACACTGTTTACAAAAAGTACAGATTCTATGCTCATGTATTGCTTATTATCTGGGGAAATAGAGTAGGTGTGGGGCAGGGGTGTTAGTGTCAGACCTCCCAGCTACACAACATCGATAGCACTTACTTCCTGTCCCTGATGTGCTGGATTCTGGACCGGTGTGGGAGTGGGTGGGTGACTAGTGCTGGGATGGTGAGGGAGCAGAGTTAGTTGAACATAGTGATTATTGAGGGTGTATATATTTTTATCAGGGTTATGGGACTCCCTGTGTATGCAAGGTGTTATTTGCTATCTCCATAATCCTAGTGTTGTGCCTGGCTCTTAGGCACTCTGCAAGTGTTGTTGGTTGAATTTGTGTGTGTCATTTGTCACAAATATATAGTAGAGAAAAAAGTAGAGATGTGTCTTTTAGGAGCAGGAAAGAGCCTACTCTTTGCCAGGGGGTTGGGGAAGGCTTCCTAGAAAGGCTGGTCTTTGAATTGAACATGAGTGTTGGAGTCTGGGAGGGGGCAGGGCATTTTAGGCAGAGGAGGAATGACAAGAGCTCAAAGACTCCTTTTAAGTTGCTACTGTTTATAGCATTATTAGTAGCATTTTATTTTGTAACATAATTTCATCCATTTAGAAGCAGGGTTGTCCTCCTTTTTTCCTTCTATTATTCTCTCCATTTCCCTTCTCTTCTAACCCATTCTTAGTTCCTACACAGGACAGGAACAGGAGACAGAAATTCTGGTCCTTGGTCTGTCCTTAACTTATCACTGTGTGACCTCCCCGGGCTTACACTAAATAACTCAAGGATCAGTTATTCACCCAGCTGTTGGCTCAATGTGGCGCCAACTGCTGAAGGGTAACAGGTGTTTGAAATGTGTTCTTTCTACTCTGCTGCAGCCTAGATGGACAGACAGGACATCTTCATCAAATAGTACCACAGTCAAGTAGAGCTTTGAACTTAAGAAAAGTTAAATAAAATGATATATTTACACGGGACTCTTCCCCTAGGAATCGTGATAGAACATTTTTCTTGCATCCATTTTTCATGAAATGTATTTGAATATAGTTTGGTACTGTTTCTAAAGTATATAAAGTTAATAGGAAATCATAGTATATCACATTTTTATTTGCATGATAAACTATTACCTGAACTATTTGCAGTTTTTGTCAATTTTCTAACACTGTAGTAAGTACTTGTTGCCATGGCACAAATACCCCCAAACTTAGCAGTTTCAAACAACATTTATTATTATCTAGATGATTTGGTTGGGTGGAATCTGGATGGTTCTGGCTTCAGATCTCTCGTAAGGTTGCATCCGAGCTGTTGGTCAGGGTTGCAGTCCTCTCAAGACTCAACATGGTTGCAGGATCTGCTTCCAGGCTCAGTCACATAGGGGTTTGCAGGCCTCAGTTCTTCATAGGCTGTTGGGTAGAAGGCCCGTGCTCAGGCTGTCTCAGTGTCTTAAGGACATAGAGTGTGTTATAAGAGAGGAAAGAAAGGAGGGAGCGAAGGAGAAGAGGAGGCTTCAGCATGTCACACCCCAAGCCCCCTTTGCCTACCCCATTATAGCACTCTGTATAAACTTGCCTCAGCAGTGTCATGCCATGTGGCATTGGTCACACAGACCAGCCCTGAGACATTGTGGGAAGGAATTACCCAATGGCATGAATACCAAGAGGGAGTAATTGGGGGTCATCTTGGAGGCTGCCTTCGAGGTATTCCCAATATGTTTATAGTCTTTTTTTTTTTTTTTAAGTTTTTTTCTTCTTTCTATTTTTTTTTTATTAAGGTATTATATGTGTACATACCTTACCGCCCCCCCCCCACACACACTCGCATACATGCCCTTCCTCCCCAGAGTTTTTCGTCCATTGGTTATGCTTATATGCATGCATACAAGATTTCTTATCTCCCCCATATCTCCCTACCCTCCCTGCTGTAATTTGTGTTTATAGTCTTGAGTTCTGGAACTAGGATTTCTCCAGTACTACTTTGGAGAAATCTAGGTACTTGGAAATAATTAAGGAATGTCATTTTTATTATTGTTTTCTCCTGTCAATATATATTTCTCTTTAGTTCGGATAAAATTGCCCTATCTGGTTTGGTTGGATAGAGTGTCAGCCTGCAAACTGAAGGGTCTTGGTTTGGATTCCAGGCAAGGGTACATGCCTGGGTTTCGGGCTCTCTCCTCAGTGAGAGACGTGCAGGCAGCAGCCGATCAATTATTTTCTCTCATCATTGATGTTTCCATCTCTCTCTCCCCCTTTTTCTTCCTCTCTGAAATCAATAAGTATATATTTTAAAAAATTTATCTTGTTTTTTTTAAACTTTCATTTTTTTTTTCAGTCAGCATTTTATTTTTGCCTTTTATTATGGAAAACTTCAAGCTTCAGAAAAGCTAAAGAACAATATAATGAATTTCCATATACCCATTACCCAGTTTGAACAATTATCAGTTCATGGCTAATTTATTTTCATCTGTACTCCATTCTCCTCCACCTTGATTATTTCGAAACATCTCAGTCATAGTGTCAATTCATTGTATATATTTCATTATGTCTGTCTGAAAATTAGGGAGGCTTATAAACATCTCAACAATACTTTAAAAATGTAACAGTAATCTTTAATAGCATCAAATGTAAATCCAGCTTTCAAAATTCCCCTCTTGTCTTATCTTTTTTTTTTTTTTAATCAATCTTTATTGTTCATATTATTACAAAGGTTCCTCATTTCTTCCCCCCTCCACCAGGCTCCCACCCCACCCTCCGCCCCCCTCCCCATCCCCCATTGTCCTCATCCATAGGTGCACAGTTTATGCTCAGTCTCTTCCTCCCTCCCTTTCCCCCATAGTAAATCCCTTTTCAGATAGTAAATCAGTTACTTAGCATTTTCTCATATCAATAATACCTCCACATGCCCAATGATACACTTCACACAAAAGACATTTCCAAATAGGTCAATCAGCCTCATCCAGGCCCCACCCAAGGCAGTCACAGATCAACACCCCAGTGCTATACTAACTCAACACATCCAGATCTTGATTCAGCAGACCCTCAAGTTCCCGCAAAAGTTTCCAGCCATGTCTGAGAGGCAGCCGTGGGGCAGGGGCAGGCGAGGAGTGAGCTGTTCCGGGCCTGACTGCTCCGGGCCTGGCCTCTGTTGCTCTGGTTCGTTCCACAACCAGCTGCTCCGTGTCTGGTCACTGCCGCTCCCGACCTAGTTGCTCTGGACTTGGCTGCTGTTGCTCCGGGCCTGGCTGCATCCGCCGCCGCTTCCAGCCTGGCAGCTGCTGCTCCTGGCCTGGACGCACCTGACCCGGCTGCTCCGGGCCTGGCCGCTCCCAGCCTGGCAGCTGCTGCTCCGGGCCTGGCCGCACCAGACCCAGCTGCTCCGGGCCTGGCCGCTCCCAGCCTGGCAACCGCTGCTTTGGGCCTGGCCGCACCCGACCCGGCTGCTCCGGGCCTGGCTGCTCCCAGCCTGGCAGCTGCTGCTCCGGGCCTGGCCTCTCCGAGTCTGGCCACTCCCGGCCTGGATGCTCCGGGCTTTGCTACTGCTGTTCTGGGCCTGGCTGCTCCCAACCCGGTTGCTCTGGGCCTGGCTTCTCCAGGCCCAGCCACTCCAGGTCTGGGTGTTCCTGGACTGGCCACCCTGGGCTTGGCCACCTCTGCCTCAGGCCTGGCTGCCACTGCCCCAGGTCTGGCTGCTCCAGTGCTGGTTGTTGATGCTCTGGTTCTGGCTGCTGCTGCTCTGGGGCCTGGCCGTTGCTGCTCCGGGCCCAGCTGCCACTGCCTTGTGCCTGGCCACTCTAGGCCTGGCCGCCACTGTTCCAACTTTCTGTCTTTTTTTTTTTTTTTTTTTTTTTTTTTTTTAATGCATTTATGTTGCATTGTTGGCTGGTGAGTTGAGTTCTGACTTAGTCTTTGATTTTTCAAGATCTTCTTTGTATTCTTTCTTAAGTAATTTTACTATCTTTTTCTCTCACTTGATTTCTTCACATTGAGAACTTCTTTGGTTTCTTCCTCCTTGTCCTGGGAGCTCAGCAGGTTGGCCTGTGGCACCCCTTTGTTCTCTGCGGGCTCCTGCACTGCTTCAGCCTGTTGCCGGGGTTGGCGCTGCCCAGGAAGCAGCCCCCGGCCTTGGCTTCGTTGCCCACACTCAGCAGTCGAAGGCTCAGGGGCAAACCCCCACCCCCCCCGGGGGGGCCCCGTCGTCCGGCAGGGGTTCCTGCTCCCCGTCGCGTTCCTCCAGTCTGGAGCCTTCTTTCTTTTTCCTGCTAGGGGAGTCTAGGATCAGAGTCAACAGACTGTCCTCTGCGCGCAGTGTGCGCGACTCTGGGGGCTCCGCTTTTTGCCACTCCCCTGGGATTCCACCTCACAGCCCTGTCTCCCCCTGCCTGAGCCTGGGTCCCCAGGGTCTGGCCTAGGACTGGGGTTCAGAGCAGTCGAAACTGGGGCCCAACACGGCCGGGGCTCCTGTTTCCTTCCCTCCAGGGCAATCCCGCATCAGAGTCAACATTCCTTCCCTTGCAAGCAATGTGCGCAACTCCTGGGGCTCGGCCTTTCGCCGCTCTCCCAGGACTCCACCTCACAGCCCCGTCTCCCTCTGCTTGAGCTTGGGTCCCCAGGGATTGGTCTAGAACTGGGGTTCAGAGCTGAGGCTCAGCGCCGCCGGAGGCTTAGTTTCTTCCGGCTAGGGTAATCCAGCATCAGAGTCAACATTCAGTCCTCTGCGCAAAATGTGCGCGCGACTCCGGGGACTCTGCTTTTCACTGCTCCCCTGGGATTCCGCCTCACAGCCCCGTCTCCCCCTGCTGGAGTGTGGGTCCCCAGGGTCTGGCCCATAACTGGGGGTCAGCGCTGCCGGTTTGGGGGTTCAGCCCAGGCTGGGGGTTTTATTTCCTTCCTGCTAGGGAACGCCAGGCAGCACCCAGCCCTCTCCTCCTCTCCGGCTGCGACCTCTCGGTGCGCGCGTACGTGCGAGCCCGCAGCATGTCTCCGTGCCTTAGGCTTTTTTTTCAGCTCCTCTGATTTTCCTTCTGGTTTTCTCTTTCCTTCTTGTTGTAGAATTTTCAGTCAGTCGACTACCTGTAGCTCTGGGCAATGTCCACTCTATATTTTAGTTGTATTCCATTGAAATTGTTGTGTGCTGCTGCGGTTAGATGTCTACCTGACCAGCCATCTCGGATCCTCGTTGTCTTATCTTTATCAATATTTTTTTTTATAGTTTGAACCAGGATCCAAATAAAATCCACATATTGCAAATTCCAGGGTCTTTGTATTTTATTCTTAAATTTTGGATTTATGTTGATCATTTCATGCATCCCCATCTTTTTATAGATGAGAAAGTTTGCCAGGGGTTACATAGTTGATTTATTTAAGATTAAAACCTAGACCTGATTCTTAATCTCAGGTGCTTTTCACTTTAAGCAGAAAATATTTCAAGGCATGCCTTTGAAAGGAACTTTCCGTCCTTTGGTTTGTTTGCAGGTTGTGAGAAATGATGTGAACGTGAGTCCTCCTAGACTTGGGTGGTCGATGTTCACGTGCAGTTATTCCATCTGTGAGTCCCGCACAGGGCCGTGTGATCGCGGCAACTCTCTGTCAGCCTCTTAAAGGCTAACCACAGGCATGTCTAAAAAGTCAGTGGTGCTGATTTTTCCCACAAACATCCTGTCTCTTTCAGGCTGGCCTCTCAATTTGCCGAGCCACTTTCAGAAGTCCTTCCTTTATGCACTCTTCCGAGGATATGTTCTTTGCTTATTTTTACTCAATAGTATGGCCTGGAAATCAGTCCATATCAATTTTTAGTCATCTTCAGTCTTTTTTCCACATTGTTCGATTTTTGTTTTTCATTTTTATTTTACTGTGTTTCCCCGAAAATAAGACCTACTTACAGGTTTCCTACTGAGTGAAATATAAGGCATCCCCCGAAAATAAGGCCTCTCTAGGCTCTGTCTCAGAATGCTATTGCTAAACATGAGAGATTTGGTCCACTGATTCTGAAAGAAATGGAGTCACAAGAAATTCACCAGGAAATTCAGGAGTTGGATTGTTATGATGATGTTCCAGAAGATGATGACATGATTGTCATTGAATAAACGAGTAAATTCTTGATACTATAGGATTCAATTTGTCTGGTTTGTGTTGACAACTACCATACTACCATACCGTATACAGGTAATAAATTTCCTTTATTTCCATTTAACGATAAATGTGTACCATATTCTTCTTCATGGAAAAATAAGACATCCCCTGAAAATAAGACCTAGCGCACCTTTGGGAGCAAAAATTGATATAAGACACTGTCTTATTTTCGGGGAAACAGGGTATTTATTTATTTGTAAACATATTTTTATTAATTTTAGAGATGAAGGAAGAGTGCCCCCTACTGGGTAATGAGACAGCAACCTAGTGATGTGTCCTGACTGGGAATCGAACCCTGACCTCCTGGTTCATAGGTTGATGAATCAAGCACTGAGCCACACCACTATTAAGAATTTAAAACATTTTTCCTAATATTTTAATAGATTTGGTTCTTATTTTAGAAAGTTTTTAAAAAATACTCCATTGCTTTAAGAGGCATTGTTTTAAATAGGTCACTGAGAAAGCTATGAGTTGGCACTGGATAGAAGCTCAGGGCTGGATTGCTGCCTTGTAGCTCTAGGATGAAGTAGCTTAGTTTTGCATTTCATAGGTCTAGATCTCCTGTCTCCTGGTTAGCCAGGTTTGGATTTGATTTGGGAGGGTGCCTTGGTCAGGACTCAGTGTTTGACACTGAAATCCAATAGAATTTTGCAAATCCTTGCCATGTGCTCTAAGTAAATGATTATGGGTGCTTTTCCCTGTTCTCTGCAGGCTCGTCAGCTAATCCTACAGTATGGCTTAACACTCAGTGACCTGGACCGACACCCAGAGGTAAGAGACATCTATCTTTCTGCTCCTTTTTGTGGCTGTCGCTTGTCTATGGGTCAGGGTATCTGCTGCGGGTAGGAGAGAGGTCAGTTCATCATATCAGCTTTTCTCTGGAGACCTTGAGTATTAATCCTGGCTAAGGTAACAAGCAGAGCAGTGTTTGGTTTCCAGTACCTTCTCTTTGGTTTAACTAAGAGCTCAGTTTGAGTGTCATGAAGAGGGTTAAATGAGCCCTGATTGCACCTAGGGCTTCTTCCTTCAGTCCTTGGACAGATGTATGATAGTGAGCCCACAGGGCTTACCATCATGTGGAGAAGAGAAGTGATCGTCTGAGGTGCCACGCTCATATGGAAATGGGTTACAGTGTGTTTATGGTCAAGATGATTACACACCTGGTCAATCAGGAGGCTGAAGTTGAGAAGGTGAGTAGCATGCTCATAGTTAGCAGTTACTGAGCCCTTACTGAATACCAGATACTTTGCTTAGTGCTGTACCGTGCTAAGTTATTTAAACTCCAGTAGTCTTGATGGTACCATTATGGGTACCATTATGTACCTACCTTTTCCAAGGCTATGAAAAAGGCACAGAGAGGGCAAGCTGCTTGCCCAAGGCCATGCTTTTTGTAAGTAGCGGAGCCTCAGTATGAATCAGGTGCCTCCAGCTTTAGAGTGATGCTACTTAGAAGGGTTTTGTGGGAAGAGGTAAAGGTGAGTGGAGCTGTGAAGGCTAAGTGACAAGAGCCAGAGAGAACATTCTGGAGAGGGATCGATAGGCACTGCAGGAGCCATTCTGGGAAGGCACATGGGTGTATGTGGACAGTTCCCTGGCTGGCTGGGTGATTAGGATCGAGAGGTGGAATGCACTGATGTAGTGGGGGAAGGGAGAGAGGACAAGGCTGCATTGGCTGAGTCAGGCAAGATTATGACAGTCCAAAACCAGACTGGTGGTTGGAGCTTGGTGGTGGTCTAGTTGTCATGATGCGTATGGGCTTTAGAGGGCTTAGTAAGAACCACAGAAGGGCTCATTTGGAGAAATCTGTGGGCAGAGCCGGCACAGGTGGAATTAGCTGTTGAATACTGTTAGAAGAGGAGGCTAGCCTGAATACGTGACTGCCATCCCAACAGGAAGGGCTGCCACCTTCCAGGTCCTGGGGAGTCAGTTGCCCAGGCAAAGCCCGGCCCAGGGACTAGGCAGGGCCAGGGAGGAGCAACACAGGCCATGACTTTAGACCACATGTGTCAAACACAAGGCCCGCGGGCCAAATCCGTCCCGCCAGGCCTTGCAATGTGGCCCGCACCGCGCTGTCATCACTGCACTCCGCTGCGTTTCCATCACAATGACAGTTTATGACTGTTCAGTAAACCATTCGGCCCGCGATTTAGGCTGGATTTTAGATTTTGGCCCCTTCTCTGAGTTCGACACCCCTACTTTAGAATAAAGGGCACATTGGTAAGAGATGGCAGCAAGGGTGTACGCCTGAAACTTTGTGGGGCTTTCTCCTGTGCCCCAGCAGCTGCACCAAGCACCTTTCAACTATAGCTTGAACTGAAACTGCACCCTGAGGTTTCCTATTGCTATTTAAAAAAACCCAAACTCTCACATTGTCCATGCCGAGTACCAGGAGTGATGGGAAATAAAAATATACTAGAGGCCCGGCGCACAAAATTCATGCACAGGGAGCAGGGGTTGTCCCTCAGCCCAGCCTGCACCCTCTCCAATCTGAGACCCCTTGAGGGATGTCTGACTGCCTGTTTAGGCCAGATCCCGGTAGTCAGACATCCCTCTCACAATCTAGGACTGCTGGCTCCCAACTGCTCGCTTGCCTGGCTTCCTGATTGCCCCTAACTGCCTCTGCCTGCCAGCCTGATCACCCTCTAACCACTCCCCTGCCAGCCTGATTGATGTCTAACTACTCCCCTGCGGACCTGGTCACTCCTAACTGCCCTCCCCTGCAGGCCTGGTCCCCTCCAATTGCTCTCCCTTGCAGGCCTGGGTGCCTCCCCGCCCCCCACCCCCACCCCCAACGGCCCTTTCCTGAAGGCTCGGTCGCCCCCAACTTCCCTCCTCTGCTGGCCTGGTCACCCCTAACTGCCTTCCCCTACAGGCTTGATTGCCCCCAACTACCCTTCCTTGCAGGCCTGGTCCTTCCCAAAGGCCCTCCTCTGCTGGCCATCTTGTGGTAGCCATCTTGTGTGTTGGAGTGATGGTCAATCTGCATATTACTCTTTTATTAGATAGGATAGAGGCCTGGTGCATGGCCAGCTGGTTTGCCCTGAAGGGTGTCCTGGATCAGGGTGGGGGTTCCCTTGGAGTGTGGGGTGGCCTGGGTGAGGGACCTGTGGTGGTTTGCAGACCGGCCACGCCCCCTGGCGACCCAAGTGGAGGCCCTGGTATCTGGGCCTCCTGCAGGACCATAAGGTACCTCTGATAATTTCCAATTCTGGATCACAGCAACTGTGTGTCAGCTTTATAACTCTTTATGGGTCTTCTTTGTCCACTCAAAATGGCCGTGTTTGCCAAACTAGTATGGAGACTTTTGGGTCAGTATTTCTCAGCCTCTTTTTCTATGATCTCCCTTCCTTCATGACATTTCAATACCACAGATAAAGTGTGCTTATGGTCAAGATGATTTCACACCTGGTATATATGTTTCTATACTTAGGGTGATGTCACCCATATTGAGGTTGCATGATCCCCATAATTCCAATTTGTCCACAGAGAAGTCCTTCAATGAAAAAAGGGAGTGTGTAAGAGCTGGGTCCAGGGGTGGTTCCCAGGCCCCATGCTTGTTTCTCGGTGACTCTAGGAGAATAGTTTACCCTCTCAGAGCTTTAAGGTCTTGATTGGTTAAAAGCAGATAACTGTACCTAGCTAGTTGGGAAGGCTGCTGAGGCCTGATAAAGCTATTGCATGCTCAACCTTAGTACAAAACTTTCCCTTCAAAGACATAGTGGCTGTTCTATCTTCCCTTCTTCCAATACAGATCGACCTTGCCATTGATGGTGCTGATGAAGTAGATGCTGATCTCAATCTCATCAAGGGTGGTGGGTGAGTATTGTGGTGACTTTCTTGCTAAGGAGTATCTGCCAGTTAATTCTTAGCAAAGCAAAATGGATTGCAGAAGAAGCAAATTGCCACTGTGATGTACCTGAGTTTGTCTTTCTACTAGGATGCCAAGAGCTATGGCTGGAGAGCTAAATTGGTATTTCTGGTCATTAGTTGCAGAATTTGGTGACTAGGAACCTGGGCTAATTCAATGAGATTATTCATCCTAATAGATTCTCCGTGTCCACATTCTTCTGTGATTTCAAGCTTTAAAATTATGCGAGCTAAACAAGCATGTTACTGGGGCTAGATTATTATATCTGTGGGCATCAGTGTGTGATCTTTGCTTTAAAGCTGCTCTTAACTCTGAGTACTTAGTGATGGTGTATTCATTCATGTAGAAAACATCAGGTGTTTCTTAAGTGGTGATTTGGGGTTTAGGGAAGGGTGAGTTGCAGAATTTCCTGTTCTGCTGGTTCTTATAATCAAGTAGACTGAAATGACACAAAATTTATTTAAAAGCTCATTGTGCTCTCACTGTTTCATCACCCTGACTGTCAAATAGCCTATAAGACAGATTGTTCCAAGCTTACCTTTCTTAAGCTATAGACGCCTCCCCATGCTCAGATATTTCCCTAAGCTTGGGATTTCTTCACATACGCATCTTAGATGGCATTTGGCTTGGTCTAACTGGGAACCATTATCTCATTTTTGGGTTTCTCCCAGACACAAGCTAAGGTTTTCCATAGTCCATGTGGTGAAAAGACCGTGTCTTAGCTTTGGCTGCTGTAACAACACCAAGCCTGCCTGGGTGGCTGAAACAACAGACATTTATTAGTTTTGAAGGTTCTTTAACTGAAGGTGGCTGACTTTTCACTGTGTCTTCACATGGTGAGGGGAGAGAGTAAGTAACTCTCTGGTCATTAAGACTTTCATCTTACCGGACCAGGGCTGTACCCATATGATCTCATTTAACCATAATTACTTCCTTAGAGGCCCCACCTCCAAATTCAGTCATACTGCAGGTTAGAGATTCAACTTTAGAATTTGGGTGGGACACAATTCAATTCATTGCATAGCAGGATGGGTCATGTCCTTTAAGAATTAAAAAGTGAGGTTCTCTTTAAGTACCAGTATTGAGTGAATTTGGATTTTCTGTATCTGACTAGTTCTCAAATCGAGTTTTTGTCTTAGCCCTGTGTTTATTTTCTTCTTCCCATTTCCAGAGGCTGCCTGACCCAGGAGAAGATTGTGGCGGGCTATGCCAGTCACTTCATCGTGATTGCTGACTTTAGGTATAGTGTTCTGAACTGTTCACGAAGGAGGAGGTCAGACTTGGGCCTCATCTGCATTTTACAGAGGATGAATTAGGGACCTGGAGGGACTGTGGGACTTTGAGACTCCTGCCTGGGACTTAGGCAGTGTCGAGGAGTTTTATGATCTGCTTTCATGCTGAAGGGAGGGGAGACATTGCTCTTTAAGTGTCCTTTGGAAGGAGGAGTAGCTTGTCTCCCTTGTCAGCAGAGCATGTCATATGTCACTCATTTGATCCTCCTAGGGAGCCTCAGAGGAAGCCAGGCAAGCACTGCCCAAGGGCAGTGACTCAGCACACTGTTTCCTCCAGGGTCACGTGTGACTCCTGTTGTGGATAATCTGACCTGTCTCTCAGGTTCTCCTTTAAGGAGTCTGTGAGAGGACTTACGCTGAGGCTGTTATTATTTTTTTTTTTCTAAGTACTTACTTGTGAAGTATAGTTGTGGGAAGAACCTAAATAATAAACACCTGTATACCACACAAAGCTAGTCATAATTAAATTTCCACATTTTTGTTACTGTTACTTCAGATGCATTTAAAACCTCTATTATCCCTGTTTGCCTCCTGTGCCATTTCATCATATAAATTAACACCATTCTTAAATTTGGTGTTATCTGTACCATTGAGCTTATTTATATTTATTGTAGTTTTTTACTCTATTTCCAGGAAAGATTCAAAGAACCTTGGGGATCAGTGGCACAAGGGAATCCCCATCGAGGTCATCCCCATGGCTTATGTCCCAGTGAGCCGAGCTGTGACTCAGAAGTTCGGGGGTGTGGTTGAACTTCGAATGGCCATCAACAAGGCAGTAAGTGGTGGTGAGGTTTCTTGAGGACAGTCCAGGGTCTCAGTACTGTGTCTGCATCAGTGATGGGAAAGTCCTTGTGTTCCCAGGCTCTCAGTGTACTCCTATTTCATTAGGTCCTCTGGGCCTGACCAGACAGCAAGCCTTTATTTACTTTAAGTTGATGTCTTTATTTGTAGAGTGCTTCTTTATTAGTTCCTATATTCAGACTTGTAGATAAGACTTAATGCAGTGTTATCTTCTGTACAAGTGGGGAAATGATTCTTTCTGTTTCTTGTTGGGGCTGATGTTCCTCAGGTGATTTGACCTTTGTACCTGAATTCTGGACCACCCTGATTAACATCTGCCAAACTGGGCTTTGGGGAAGCCCCTGGAGCATAAAGTTTTTCAGGGTTCTGCATGCTCCCCACTGGGGACTGAGCCTGCAACCTGGGCATGTGCCCTGACTGAAATCGAACCATGACCTCCTGGTTCATAGGTTGATGCTCAACCACTGAGCCATGCTAGCTGGGCCATTTTTATTTTGATGTGTTTTCTTCCTGGTTTTTGTGACTTAAAAATCATTGTCCTAATCAAAGTTGTTGCATAGAGATCTGATCTGGCTCCCTTTCTAGCTGAAAGGCCAGGAAGAGATTCTTAGAGGTTCTCCTTCATAGCTGGGGTTATTCCAGACAAGATCCTCAGCATCTTGCCTTTATGGACATCTTAACTAAGCACCCACCCCTTCTCCTCCAGTCTGCAGGGGAGTCCTGGTTTCTTTGTCTTTGTAGTGATCTATCAGCATTTGTGGTCCTAAACATTTTCTTGTGCCTAAACCTATTGAGGAATTCTGGACTAACTGAAACTACCCCCTATCTATTTGACCTCAGAACCCATCTCTGCTTCTTTTTGTTGGGACTCCCTAATTGAATTGTGAAATAACATTGTCTCATTTTATATTATTGCTGGCACTTAATGGGAAGCTCTGAGAATATCATGCCGTGTTGGAAACTAAGAAATATTGAACTCTCACTGTGAGCATTCACTGTGGCAAATGCTTACCCATGTGGTTTATACCTAAGCAGCCTTGTGAAGTATGGCATGCTCCCTTCCTACAGTTGAGGAATCTGAGGCTCACAGGAGTCAGTGGCTCCTCTGAGGTCTACACTCAAATCCTGACCTCAAAGCTTTTGCTCGGTACTGCTTCACAGCACTTCCTTCTAGAAAGCATGAGGTGGAAGTACTGCTTGGAGTGGGTTAGTTAGGATAAGTGTCTTTGGTTATTGCTTCCACTTTTCTGTGCCTCTCTATTTACCTGTATCTTCATCCTTGGAAAATTACTTTCTAGGGTCCTGTGGTGACAGATAATGGGAATTTTATCCTGGCCTGGAAGTTTGACCAGGTGTACAAACAGAGTGAAGTGAACACAGCTATCAAAATGACCCCAGGTAATATGGGTGGTGGTCACCCCCCTACATAGAGCCTTTCCTCCCAAGATCTTTGCTTAAGCAGTAGGGGAAAAGGACTCCATTCACCCACATTCATTAATACAGACCACAGGCAAGATATTGTGCCACATGTTATAGGAATGCTCCCATTTACAGCATATGGAATAAACCAGAGGAAAACTTTGTGGTTGAATAGAGTTATACCTGCAAATAAGGTGGCATGTGCTAAATTCTGCTAGAGGAATACCAAGAGTCTATAGTGTACAAGATTGTGTCTTTTGAGGAGTGTGGGGAGGTTCTATGAATAGAAGTAGTTTTTGAGCTGTGCCTCAGCATAGTGTAATCTGAACCCTGAACTGAGTGTTTACAGTTATCTCTTTCGACTCCCAGTTAGATTGCATAGTTATAGGATGGACACAGATTGAGGAAGGTTAAAGGATGTGCCCAAAGGCCAGAGTACCAAAGTGGGAGTACCAAAATGGGAATCCCTCTAGGCCTGAACTTTTAGTCCTTATTTCTTTGAGAGCCAGGTCACAGAGGGGCTGTTGACATGAACATTTGGAGCAGTGAAGAACCATGGTTCTCGGGCCCTGGGTAAGGCTGGATGGGCAGTGTAGAGGTGAGTTATGAGTGTGTATTGGAGGAGCTAGTAAGGGGATCAAAAGAATGAGGGAGAGCTGGGAAATATTAGTCTTACATATTGAGAGACTAAGATCCTAGCTGCCAATATTCCATGACATGGAATATTCTAGGCCACATGTGTCAAACACAAGGCCCGCGGGCCAAATCCGTCCCGCCAGGCCTTGCAATGTGGCCTGCACCGCGCTGTCATCACTGCACTCCGCTGCGTTTCCATCACAATGACAGTTTATGACTGTTCAGTAAACCATTCGGCCCGCGATTTAGGCTGGATTTTAGATTTTGGCCCCTTCTCTGATTGAGTTCGACACCCCTATTCTAGGCCCAGAACTAGCTAATGTGGCAGAGAAGGTCAATTTAGCAGATGATAATGGCTGATAGATCTTGAATCAGACTACTAGAGCACAGGCCCTGACCCAGCCCTGCTCCATCCAGTATGGCCTTGGTGCTGTGAGTTACTGTCCCTTCCTCTATAAAAGGCTCATTCTATAATAATACCTACCTCATAGGATTGTTGGGAGGATTGAGTAAAACACAAGTCGATGTTTAATGAATGAAAGAAAAGATATTCACCATTAATTAATACTAAATTCTAAGGTATCCATGGTATTTGGGATTGAAAATGGTGTGAGTATATGCCATGTAATAAAGAGCTAATTCTTCTACCCTTACTTTAGTTCACTATTTTAAGCTTCCATTGAGTATTTTTTTTTTACCAGATTTTATTTTTATATATATATCGATTATATATATATATATATAAATATATATAATATGTGTTTCCTTGAAAATAAGACCTACTTACAGGTTTCCTTCTGAGTGAAATATAAGGCATCCCCCGAAAATAAGGCTCCCCCTAGGCTAAACATGAGAGATTTGGTCCACTGATTCTGAAAGAAATGGAGTCACAAGAAATTCACCAGGAAATTCAGGAGTTGGATTGTTATGATGATGTTCCAGAAGATGATGACATGATTGTCATTGAATAAATGAGTAAATTCTTGATACTGTAGGATTCACAGTTTGTCTGGTTTGTGTTGACAACTACCGTACTACCACACCATATACATGTAATAAATTTCCTTTATTTTCATTTAACAATAAATGTGTACCATATTCTTCTTCATGTAAAAATAAGATATCCCCTGAAAATAAGACCTAGCGTATCTTTGGGAGCAAAAATTAATATAAGACACTGTCTTATTTTTGGGGAAACAGGGTGTGTGTGTGTATATATGTTTCCTACCTGCCCCCTGGGTTGCTGTACTATCATTACAGCAACCGAAGGCTTGACTGAACACCGGAAGTCAGTCCTGCAGTCAGGGGGTTGCATATTAGGCCTGGAGAGAGAAGCAGGGTCTGATCCATAGCCTCTGTGGCAGCTGTTGATCATCTCTTGCCTTTCTCTTTCTCTCCGGGCCTGTCTATTTCTCTCTGGGTCTCCGCTGGGACTGCTGATCAGCCCCACCTCTCTGATCAGACCCAGAGATAGGCCTGTAGATGCTGACTGGCATAGAAACTGACCAATCAGAACCAAATCTGGGTGAGCTGTGAAGAGCCAATGGCTGCTTAGGAGGCGGAGCTTTTGACGCTGACTGACATAGAAACCGACCAATCAACCAAATCTGGGTGAACTGTGAGGAGTCAGTGGTTGCCTAGGAGGTGGAGCTTTTGATGCTGACTGGAATAGAAAACAACCAATCAGAACATAATCTGTGTGAACTGTGAAGGCAGAACCTAATGTGGGGGCTGAGGAGAGGTTTTAAGGCAGTTGGGGAAAGATCAGGTCAGCAGGGAAGGGCAATTTGGGGAGAGATCAGACTGGCAGGAGAGAGCCATTGGGGGTGAAATCAGGTCAGCAGAGGAGGGCAATTGCGGGGTGGGGGGGGGGTGAAATCAGGTCAGCAGGGGAGGGCAGTTGGGGGCGAGATCATGTCAGTAGGGGAGGTCAGTTGGGGGCGATCAGGCAGCCAGGTGAGCACTTAGGAGCCAGTGGTCCCAGATTGCCAGAAGGATGCCCCAATCCTTTAGTGGGATTGGGCCCAAACCAGCAGTTAGACATCCTCCAAGGGGTTCCTGATTGGAGAGTGTGCAGGCTGGGCTAAGGAACTCCCCAACCCCTATGCACGAATTTTGTGCACCAGGCCACTAGTTTTTAAATTAAAAAATGTGTTGAATTATGCTTATTCTCTCATTTATGTTTTTAGTGGAAGAACTAAAGAGCCAAGAAGCAGGAGGAAGATAAGATATACAGGTCACTGTTAGTACAGTAAGAGGATTTGCCTTAATGATAGTACAGCAACCCAGGGGGCAGGTAGGAAACAGCTCGCCACTGTCAGCCCTGCTCCTCTGTGGAAAGGTCTCTCATTCCCACTGTCTCTGCTGCTCCTGCTCAGACCTTTGTTGGCTTATTGAGGCATTGAGATGTCCTTTGTGAGAAAATTTCTTTTGTACTTTGCTCTTCACCTCAAGTACAAGTCACAACCTAGAGATGGTTAAAATTTTAAGAACTTAAAGTGAAGAAAATGGGGCGGGGGGGGAAAGTCTAGATATGAAATTATTAGTACATTGCGACCAGGGTTATCTGTGTGATTTTATTTTTTTCCTCTTCCCAATTTGGCCCATTGTAATACTTGCTGCTGGACCAAGATTAAGGTAGTAAAAGCAGGGCAAGTTTCCCTTTCTGTTCCTGTCACCTATCTTATCCCATGTGATATCATAAGGTCACTTAGAGCAGTGTTTCCCAACCTTCTCTCATGATGAGAATCACCTGGTGGAGTTGTTAAAACACAGATTCCTGAATCCCAACTAAGAAGTGCTAAACTAGAATTTTTGGGAACATATAGGTAAAATTGCATACCTAACTTAGTGCTCTGTATATAAAATCTGTCTTAGAGCACTAAGTTAAGTATACAATTTTACCTATATGTTCCCAAAAATTCTAGTTTAGCACTTCTTAGTTGGGATTCAGGAATCTGTGTTTTAACAACTCCACCAGGTGATTCTCATCATGAGAGAAGGTTGGGAAACACTGACTTAGAGGATAGCTGAACCATGCATCCCCTTGGATATTTCATTGGGTTATACTTAGAGAAGACAGGCTCTCTAGAAGGGTCAGAGCTACTGGGGTTCTTTCCCCAGGTCAATTCTGAGCCACCTCTGCCCTTCTTACATGAGGAGACCTTAAACTATTGCCATTCATCTCTGCTCTTTTTTTTTTGAAACATTTTCTGAACCTGTTATGACTTTCTTTTTGGTCACCTTGTATTACAGAAATTTGAAGAGGATGGGTCTTGAGTCACCACTTGGCTTATCTTTGTGAGGCTCCAGTCATGTTCACATAGTTCAGTGCAGGGAACTTTGTGTTTCAGCAGATTTATTCTCCAACTGGTGGCTTTTTATTGAAAATAACTGGTTTTATTGGGGGTGTCTTTATTGTTTAAAATTTTTTTGGTTAATTCTCATCTGAGGATATTTTTCCATTTATTTTTATTTTAAAAAATATATATATTTTATTGATTTTTTTACAGAGAGGAGGAGAGAGGGATAGAGAGCTAGAAACGTCGATGAGAGAGAAACATCGACCAGCTGCCTCTTGCACACTCCCTACCGGGGATATGCCCGCAACCAATGTACATGCCCTTGATCGGAATCGAACCTGGGACCTTTCAATCCGCAGACCAGTGCTCTACCACTGAGCCAAACCAGTTTCGGCTCCATTGATTTTTAGAGAGAGTGGAAGGGAGTGGGAGACACACACACAGAGAAACATTGATGTGAACACATCGATTGGTTGCCTCCCACAGGCACCCTGAACAGGGCCAGGGATTGAACCTGCAAATGAGGTACGTGCCCTGGAATTGAACCTGGGACCCTTTTCCTCAGGCTGAGTCTCTACCCACAGAGCCAAACAGGCTAGGGCTTGGGGGTGTTTTTAGAAGTTTAATATTATTTACTCTTTTGAATTTACATAGTTTAATATTACAAGAGTAAACAGCGAAGAATCTCTTCCTTCTACCTCTCCAACTTTCATTCTCTGCAGGCAGCCAGTGTTACCAAAATTGTGTCCCTGAGTCATTTTTCAGTGAACAAATCAGTTTGATGATTAAATCCTTGGCTTCAGCCCTTTTACACAAGTGGAAGCATGCTAGATATAGGTTTTGCTTCCTAGTTTTTCCTGTCTTAGAGATTAATACAGAAGAGTCAATTGAGCTTCCTTATTCTTTTTAAAATAACTGCATGACTAGCCTCACTCTCCTGACTCTGTGGCCCCACCCTCCCAAGCTCACACCTTGCTGGCTGCAGCCAGCCTGGGCTCCTGCTGCAGTCTTTCATGAGGGACTCTCAAGGAGGGCCCTAAGCCTCAGAAGGTGTCGGAGACACAGGGAGAGACTGAGCCGTGTGGCTTTCAGGTGAAGACAATTATTCCTTGCACACACTGACTGGTCACTGTTCCTGTGCAGAACCCTCCCTTTGCATGAAAAAATCTTACTCTGTTTTAGCCTGATGAACTATGCTGATCTCACCCTGATGACTCCTTGAGACCCTGCCCTACAACTAAGGTTTGTGGGCATCTGACAGGTAGGCAGCTGTACTTGGATACCCTGACAGTTTTGCTGAGTTCCCTCAATTTCAGCACTGGCACTGATAGTGAAACCTGTGTAGATCTGGAGAATACCTATGGTTCCTACCTGATGACTCACTGAGAACCTGCCTCATGTAACTCATGCAGTGCATGCTCTTTTAGTGGCTGAGTTTAATGGGCAGCCAGCAGGTGGGGCAGATCAGCTAAAGACGCAGCACCCAGGCTCAGGTATTCTGCCTCAGGCCCAGCTTGGCTCTTCCCACATGCACTGAGGCCCAGCAGAGACAGCCACTAACTATGTATTGCTTTAGAGCTCTAAACAGGCAGGCAGAGGTAGCACCTGACATTGATCTGTATTAATGTTTCTCCCAAGAGGCCCTAGAACCAGTACATCCATTGGCAGGCTTCATACATCTATACAAAAGGAATTAGCTCTCAAGTGGCACACCCAAAGGGAGATCTTTGCAGATACCAGCTCCTGCTGAGGCAAATTCTGCCTTGTGGGTCAGCCCCCACACAGTACCTCATATACTACGTTCGGGTTCAACCCTCAGCCAGCCCAAGGGCCATCTTTGCACACGGATGGGCCAACAGTAATCACGATTCAACTATAGCAGGAGGGTTCATATAACCCACACAAGGGACATTCCTAGAGCACCTAACTCATATGATCAAGGAGACTGTGCTATTGAGCCCCACACCTACTACATGAGGCCATCTTTCCAAGACTGGGAGAGAGCAGTTCAGCCTAATACACAGAAACGAATACAGCAAGGCAGCCAAAACGTGGAGACAAAGAAATATGCCCCAAATGAAAGAACAGGAGAAATATTCAGAAAAAGAACTAAATGAAATGGAGGCAAGCAATCTACCAGAAAGTTCAAAACAATAGTTATAAGGATGGTCCAGGAATTTAGGGGAAGAATGGATGAACTCAGTAAGAACTTAAAGAGATAGTAAGCATAAAAAATGGAAATTACAAAGAATCAGTGGAAATCACAGAGAATCAGTCTGAAATGAAGAATACAATAACAAATGAATACACTAGTAGGAATCAGCAGATTAGGTGAAGCAGAGGATTAAGTCAACGATTTGGAAGACAAGGTAGCAGAAAACAAAAAGTAAATTAGAGGATAATTTAAGGGACTACTGGGACAACATGAAGCATAACAACATCCGTATCATATGAGTACTAGAAGAAAAGAGAATAAGGACGTGAGTATCTATTTGAAGAAATAATGACCGAAAACTTCTCTAACTTGGTGTAGGACATAGATACACAGTACAAAGAGTCCCAAACAAGATGACTCCCATGATGTAAAGATTAAAGACAAAGAGAAACTTTTTTAAAAAATATATATTTTATTGATTTTTCAGAGAGGAAGGTAGAGAGATAGAGAGCTAGAAACGTCGATGAGAGAGAAACATCGACCAGCTGCCTATTGCACACCCCCTACTGGGGATGTGTCCGCAACCAACGTACATGCCCCTGACCGGAATCGAACTTGGGACCTCCCAGTCCGCAGACTGACACTCTTCCCACTGAGCCAAACCAGTTTCGGCAAAGACAAAGAGAAACTCTTAAAAACAGCAAGAGAAAAAGCAGTTAGTTACCTACAAGGGAGCTCCCATCAAACTGTCAGCTGATTTTTCAACAGAAACTTTTCAGGCCAGAAGGGGTTAGCAAGAAATATTCAAAGTGATGAAAAGCAAGGACATTCAGCCAAGACAAGTCTATCCAGCAAGGCTATCATCTAAAATCAAAGGAGAAATAAAGAGATTTTTTTATTAGTGGAGTTTATCACCACTAAACCAGTGTTCTAAAATAATGCATAACATTTCATTTTATAGCTATTCTATATTTTATTTACCCAGCTCTCCATTAGGGGATATTTGTTTCCAGTCCTTTGCTAGAAGGGAGTCACTAGATCAAAGGATATGTGTATCTTGTGTTGTAGATGGTATTGAATTGCCCTGCATGGATTGTACCAATTTACCTAACAGCAACTTATGTAGGTGCCACTTTCCCCATTAAACTTTTTTCTGATACTTGAACACTATCATTTCATTGTAGCATATGTGCATATAGTTGACAAACTGAATAACACAAGATTCAAACTGTGTGAGTCCACTTATATGCAGAATTTTCAGTTAACGTTTGTGGTTGAAATTCATGCTGTCCAAGGGTTAGCCCAGCTTATGTGGAGGGCCAATTTAGGTACTGCTTAAATAGTTATACTTAAGTTTTCTGCTCTAAGGGAGGTTGGCGCCCAGTTGATTAGGGTTGACTGAATGATGTAAATATTTTCAGTACAGGTTGCTCCCACTTGTAGTTAGTTCTTATTGCTGAATAGTATTCCATCATATTTATGTGTGTGAAAGAAAGTTTGCATATTCATTCTCTTTTTTAATTTATTGAATTTTTACAGAGAGGAAGGGAGAGGGATAGAGAGTTAGAAACATTGATGAGAGAGAAACATCAATCAGCTGCCTCCTGCACACCCCCACTTGCGATGTGCCCGCAACCAAGGTACATGCCCTTGACTGGAATCGAACCTTGGACCTTTCAGTCCACAGGCCGATGCTCTGTCCACCAAACCAAACCAGCTAGGGCATTCATTCTGTTCTTGATGAGCAGAGGATTTGTGTGTTTCCAATTTTTAGCTACTAGGGAAAGTACTGCTGTGAACATTCTTGTACATGTATCTTGATGACCATATGTATTCCCATCAGTTGCTTATATAACTAGAGTAGAATTGCTAGATCATTAGATATGGATATGTTTGGCTTTAGAGAATATATCAACAAACATTTTCCAAAGTGGTTTGCCAATTACTCTGTCCACGTGTAGAAATGTTTTTTTCATCCTCATCAAATTTCATTCTACTCTTCCTGGGGAGCAGTTGGTGGGGTCTCAGAGTTATAATTTGCATTTCTTTTTGTCTTGTCTGACCCCCATTTTTCATGTTTATTTGCCATTTTGGATAACCTCTTTTGTGGAGAACCTCTGAGTCTTTTGCCCATTTTTCTGCTAGGTTGTCTGTCTTCTGACTTAGAGAGTTGCTTATAGGTTTTGATGGGGGTCTTTGGTTGGGTATTCACACTGCAAATATCCCCTTGGGCTCTGGGGAAACCTGTAAGGTTTGATTTAGAGTACCTGGGAATGGTTACGTAGAGTAGTCATGGGAGACCTTTCAACTGGAAAAGGGCTGTCATATGGCATCTGGAGAACAGAGAAGAGGCAGTTTTGAAACTCTCAAAGAGACTAGTGCAGACAAAGGGAGCAGCATGAGCAAAGGCTCTGAGCAGGAGAGAGCTTGCTATATATGGGCGTAGAAAGGGAGCCAAGAAAGTAGGGAAGAAAGGAATTGTAAGAGGAAATAATGAGAATCAGAATCTCTTCATTTGTCCAGTGTTGCTGATGGTCACTGCTCCTACTGAACCTGAAATCTTTGATTCTTTTCTTGCCTTGGGAAGCTGAAACTTAATGTTCCCTTCTGTCCTTTGTCCTGCAGGTGTGGTGGACACAGGTCTGTTCATCAACATGGCTGAGAGGGTCTATTTTGGGATGCAGGACGGCTCAGTGAACATGCGGGAGAAGCCTTTCTGCTGATGCTACAGGTGTGCAGTGTGCTCACCTGGAATCCCTGCCCACAGCAGGTGGACACGCCTCTTCCGACCTTTGCCTTAATGTATCTGTGCCAAGGTCCTGCTGGCATGGTGTGGTGGGGTGGGGAGTGAAATCCAGCCTTCTTGTATTGTTATTAAATGTCTTTTTTAAAAAGAGAAATATATTTTTACTATTAAAAGTGCTGTGTTTTTAAAATACAACTTGATTTCATGTTTTATATAAAGCACTTACCAAAATAAAAAAGAGGGGGACTGTCTTTTAAACTTTTTTTTTTAATCAGTCTTTATTGTTCATATTATTACAAAGGTTCCTCATTTCTTCCCCCCTCCACCAGGTTCCCACCCTACCCTCCACCTCCTCCCCACTCCCCATTGTCCTCATCCATAGGTGCACAGTTTATGTTCAGTCTCTTCCTGCATCCACCACTCCCCCTTTCCCTGAGAACTGTCAGTCCACTCCCCTCCCGTATCGCCGACTCTACTACAATCAACAGCTAATATTGTTCATCAGGTTTTTCAATCTAAGTCTTTTTTTGTTTTTGTTGTTTTATTTTTTTAATTAATAAACTTTTACACTTCTAAGAATAAATTTTAAAATCTAATAATTTTAAACCTTGTTTTTTTTTCTCCCCTGGGAATTGAGAAGCAAACTTGTTTACATGTAAACTTGCCCTTAGGCTATCAAAAGATGTAGCCATTCAAGTGTAAATGAACACATTGTTTAAAGATAGCTGCTGGCTGGAATTGGATTACCTGTTCTGGGTGGGAAGGGCTTGTCCTCCCCTTTCTCCATTAAAATTAAGGTGTTAGCTTTAAAACCTCTTTTTGGCAAGAGACCTTAAACTTTCAGAACTTTAAATTTTTCAGATAGTAAATCAGTTACTTAGCATTTTCTCATATCAATAATACCTCCACATGTCCAATGATACACTTCACACAAAAGACATTTCCAAATAGATCAACCAACCTCATCCAGACCACACACAAGGCACTCACAGATCAACACCCTCGCACTATACTAACTCAACACATCCAGATCTAAGCCTTCATCACTTGATTCAGCAGACCCTCAAGTTCCCCCAAAAGTTTCCAGTCATGTCTGAGAGGCAGCCCTGGGGCGGGGGCAGGCGAGGAGCAAGCTGTTCTGGGCCTACCTGCTTCGGGCCTGGCCTCTGTTGCTCTGGTCCGCTCCACAACCAGCAGCCCAGGGTCTGGCCACTGCCACTCCCGGCCTGGCTGCTGCTGCTGCTCCGGGCCAGGGTGCTCCCGACCCGGATGCTCTGGGCCCGGGAGCTCCTGGCCCGGCCATTCAAGGCCTGGCCGCTCCCGACCTGGCTGCTCTTGGCTTGGTTGCTGCAGCTCCCGACCTGGCTGCTCTGGGCCCGGCCGCTCTGGGCCTGGCCGCTCCTGACCTGGCTGCTCCAGGCTTGGTTGCTGCTGCTCTGGGCCTGGCTGCTCTGGGCCCGGCTGCTCCCGGCCTGGCAGCTGCTGCTCTGGGCCTGGCTGCTCCCAACCTGGCTGCTCTGGGCACGGCTGCTCCTGGCCCGGCCACTCCTGGCCTTGCTGCGGCTTTTCCGGGCCCGGCCGCTTTGGGCCTGGCAGCTGCTACTCCGGGCCTTTCTGCTCCCGACCTGGCTGCTCCGGGCTATGTTGCTGCTGCTCTGGGCCTGGCTGCTCCTGACCCAGCTGCTCTGGGCCCGGCCGCTCCGGGCCTGGCCACTCCTGACCTGGCTGCTCCGGGCTTGGTTGCTGCTGCTCTGGGCCTGGCTGCTCCGGGCCCAGCCACTCCGGGCCTGGTTGCTCCCGACCTGGCTGCTCCGGGCTATGTTGCTGCTGCTCCGGGCCTGGCTGCTTTCGACGGGGCTGCTCTGGGCCCGGCTGCTTCAGGCCCAGCCACTCCGGGCCTGGCCGCTCCGGGCCTGGCCACTCCCGGCCTGGCTGCAGCTGCTCCGGTCCCAGCCGCTCCAGGCCTGTCCGCTCCGGGCCGAGCCACTCGCGACCTGGCTGCTTCCCGCCCGGCTGCTTCGGGCCCGGCCGCTTACGGCCTGGATGCTCCTGGCTTGGCTGCTGCTGTTCTGAGGCTGGCTGCTCCCGACCCAGCTGCTCTGGGCCCGGCTTCTCCGGGCCTGGCCACTCCGGGCCTGTGTGTTCCTGGACTGGCCACCCTGGGCTTGGCTGCCTCCCCCCCAGGCCTGGTTGCCACTGCCCCAGGTCTGGCTGCTCCGGGCCTGGCTGCTGCTGCTCCTGGCCTGGCTGCCACTGCCTTGTGCCTGGCCACTCTGCACTCTGGGCCTGGCCGTTGCCGTTACAACATTCTGTCTTTTTTTTTTTTTTTTTTTAACGCATTTATGTTGAAATGTTGGCTGCTGAGTTGAGTTCTGACTTAGTCTTCGATTTTTCAAGATCTTCTTTGTATTCTTTCTTAAGTAATTTTACTATCTTTTGCTATAACTTGATTTCTTCACATTAAAAACTTCTTCGGTTTCTTCCTCTTTGTCCTGGAATCTCAGCAGGCTGGCCTGCGGCACCCCTTTGTTCTGCACGGCTTCAGCTTGTTGCCGGTGTTGGCACCACCCAGGAAGCAGCCCCCAGCCTCGGCTCCGTGGTCCGCGCTCAGCGGTCGAGGGCCCAGCGGCAATCCCCCTCTAGGGACCTCGTCGCCCGGCTCCTTGCCGGCGCCTGGCTGGCCGGTGTCCAGCAGCGGTTCCTGCTCCTCATCACGTTCCTCCCAGTCTGGAGCTGTTTTTTCTCTTTCCCACTAGGGGAGTCTAGCATCAGAGTCAACAGACTGTCCTCTGCGCGCAATGTGCGTGACTCCAGGGGCTTCGCTTTTCGCCGCTCCCCTGGGATTCCACCTCACAGCCCCATCTCCCCCTGCCTGAGTCTGGGTCCCCAGGTTCTGGCCCAGAACTGGGGCTCAGCGCTGCCGGTTCTAGGGTTCAGTCCAGGGCTTTTATTTCCTTCCTGCTAGGGAACACCAGGCAGGCACCCAGCCTTCTCCTCCTCTCCGTCTCCGTCCTCCCTGCGCGCAACATGTCTCCGTACCTTAGGCTTTTTCAGCTCCTCTGATTTTCCTTCTGGTTTTCTCTTTCCTTCTTGTAGAATTTTCAGTCAGTCGACTACCTGTAGCTCTGGGCAATGTCCATTTTATATTTTAGTTGTATTCCTTTGAAATTGTTGTGTGCGGCTACGGTTAGGTGTTTACCTGAGCAGCCATCTTGGATCCTCCATTCCCTTCTGTCTTTTAAACTTTTAATGTAAGCCTGCTGTTTAAGCTTCTGAATATTGAGTTTGGTGAATTATGTAAAACAGAATTTTTCTTTAAACTGGTAAAGGAAGGGCCCAGCAACGGTGTTTCCCTGACACCTTACTGGAAGCATGGGAGCTCGTTTTTCTTCCTCGCTCCTTCCTGGGCTTCAGTTTTGTTGTGATTATGCCCAGTACCATGCACTTTTCAAGATGGGGTTTACAAAGTAGGGTGTGGCATGCAGTGATTGTAAATTCCCAGCGAGAAACGGGTGGTTCTGGGAAGGCTAGGGCTTCCCTCGGAACCCTGCTGTTGGAAGCAGGTGGCCAGAAGCACTTGAAATGAGACACTTTTAAATGCTTGTCTTTTTGTTAGTATTTTACCTGTTCCTTTATTTTACTTGCATGCCTCAGCATCAGAAGTTCTTATGTCTTTATATTGTTTGAGGGTTGGAATAAAAAATATGGTGCCATTCTCAGCAGTTTTGTGGTCAAGTAGAAATCCATTTTGCTCACCCAGTTTACACTGGATATCTGATAAGGGGTGGCATTTACTCAAGAAGTCTTGAGCCAAAGAGTAGGTAAATATTTCCTTTATTTCTGAGAGAGCTTGGTGTCCATTTTATTTTGTTAGTCGGGTGTAACACAGCTAAACAAATCACAAATTATTTCCAAGGTTTACATTAGTGGAACTTTAGTCGTGGCAGCTGACAAGTAGTGACATGAGTGACCTGAATTTCATCTTTATTTCCTCAACTATAGTCTTATTGTGTGCCCAGTGAGCAGTGATATGTTCAGACAGCCTCATAGACAGAAGAGGCTGTGAGCAATCAGTGGTAAGTCTCATGGGAAAGGGGGTGCCATCTGAGAACCCTGATCTGCCCATGCTGACTTTGCACAATTCTTGGGACAGTTGGCTTACTTTCTGTTTTGAAGATTGGATTATAGGTACAAACTGGTTGACATATAAATTTCTGCTAAATTAAATTGCAGAATAAAAGTTAATCAGGACTGAGTGTGGAAGAGGCTTTCTTTTCCTTGCCAAATTCCTTCTCTTTTTGTTCACACTCAAGGTGCTCTTTAACAATAGTTGCCTTGGCTGGTTTGGCTCAGTGGTTAGAGTGTTGGCCCATGGACAGAAGGATCACGAGTTCCATTCTCGGTCAAGGGCATGTACCTTGGTTGCAGGTAACGAAGTGAGTCTCTCTTACATTGGTGTTTCTCTCCTTCCTTCCTCTCTTCCACTCTCTCTAAAAATCAATGGAAAAATATCCTTGAGTGAGGATTTAAAAAAAAAATAGTTGCATCACTCATTGCTGGGAAACCCATTGTTAGGAATACTTTATTTTTCTTCGAGACTACTTCAGTCTGAATGAATGGGCACTAGATCTTACCTGAGAAAACTTGATAGAATTGATGTTTGAAAAGATCCCTTAAAGCTCTTGTGACATGGATTAAATTCAAGAATAAAGACAAACAACAAAGCTGCACTGGGTGTCTGCGCTCTGACACGCACATTCTTAGCTGGTGTTGTAGACACTCGCACCTGTGACCACACTGCAGCTCCATTGAGGGTTAATGTGAAGTGTTTTTTTGTGAAGAAAATAAAACACTTGCTAGGCTTTAGACACATACACAGCAGTTTGTTTATGAGGTAATTAAAAATATATATATATTTATTGATTTCAGAGTGGAAAGGAGAGGGAGAGAGAGAAACATCAATGATGAGAGAATCCTTGATAGGTTGTCTCCTGCACACCCACACTAGGGATTGAGCCCACAACTGGGCATGTGCTGTGACCGAGAATCTAACTGTGACCTCCTAGTCTATATTCAACCACTGAGCCATGCTGACCAGGCTTGGGTAAATTTTTATTTAAGTTCCTTCAATAAAATTGTAATCTTTTTTTTTTTTTTTTTTTTTAATTAATTTATTTATTTATTTTACAT